AAAATGCTGTCGGTGAATGCTGCACAAGATTCTGCCGATTTGGTGTCTAAACTGAGAGCCTTCCACCATGCGTCACAAACGTCACCAGACAAAGTAGGCTACAAGTTCGTAGGTTTGGACTTGGTTCAAGGGAAGTGTAGAGACAACAAAAAAGCAGGCGTGGTTGAGCCTGCTGTGAGCAAAATTAAGTCGCTGAAGTTCGCAACTGAAGCAGCTATCACCATTCTGCGAATTGACGATTTGATCAAGCTGGAACCAGAGCCGAAAGAGCCTCCTCGTCGTCACTAAAGGGAAGCTGAAATTTCAGTGGTCAACTCATTTTCATGTGGAAAATGCTGTAAAATGAAGTTTCTGCATGTTGATTGATTGATTGGCAATGTGAAAAATCGTTGGTTGGTTAAGATGTTGAATAATGTGTAAAAAGCTAATTCAAATATGAACATTGGACAGCTTTTCATGGCTCAGTTTTAGCACTGAAAAAACTGTAGGTCTAAGGAAGGTTAGGTAATTGAACAAACTTTCAAGGTTCTTTGAAAAGGGACTAAATGCTTTCAGAGTAGTTAGATATAACTCATGGATACAATTGCTGCGATGTCGGACTCTTTGCCTGTTCAGAACGGAGCCATGTTGTCACCCAAAAAAGACTCGTTTGCTAATTTCTACTACAAAACTGACGGAAAACTTGTCGTTAGTCTGCAAACTGACAGTATTGAAAATGGAAATGGGGATAAGTTGCAGGAGCAGATCACTTTGCACGTGGAGGTTTGCACCAAGGGAAACGTTATTGTCAATCACGGCCAGGAGCTGAAAGACAGAGTGCACAAACATCTGTCGATGTTGGCTTATGATGATTATATTTATATTTTGACCAAGCTTGCGAAAGGTAAGTCCGCATTATTTGTGTCATACGGTAAAGTATGAGTACAGTATATTCTATAATCCGAACGGATTGCTAAATCGAATAGAGAATGAACTCATGTGTACGCAAAAGTAACTGAATGTTAATTGTTAATTCTTTCGTCTGACAGCCATCGCTCAAACTGTCCTACAAAATGTATTAAAAAAAACTTGATTGGTTTTGCCAATCTGGCCGGATGACATTTTCCTTTTTCACATAGAGTTTCATCGTCCCCTTTGGACTAAAGTTTCGGAGTCCCCGTGGGACTAATAGTTTCAAAGTTTTTCTTCCTCTGGAAATTTTTCTTGCTTTCCTTTATCTTTTGTTTCTATTATCGGTCTCTTGTTTTTCTCCTGATTTTTTTTTCGTGTTCTTCAGTCGTGTTTGCTTCGTATTTTTCGGTTTCGTCGTTTTGCTGTTTTGTTGAGCGTCGTCTTCCTGATTCTTTTCATGTTCATCGGTCGTGTTTGCTTTCTTTTTCGTTTCGTCGCTTTTCGTCTTGCTCAATTCGCTGTTTTGTTCGTATTTATTTCCAGTATCAATCACTAATAGAGCGTCTCGATTTGGGCTAGAAATTGGTGATATCACATCGATCACATGAAACTTTCTTGTCTGTTTCGGTACACATGCTTGAAACTGGTGATTTCATGTTAAATTCAGTTTCGTGGATGAGAATCATGATATTCGCATTGTTACCCTCTGATTTTCTTTCCGTGCATGCAACAGTAATTTTTTTTCGTTTACTTGTTTTAACACCTGCGAATCTATTGTATTAGTACGAACCTTCTTTTTTTCCAACCTAAGTCGGAAATATTGGTGCCACTTTTGGGGCACCTTTACTTTTTGATAGCATGTGATGTGACATTCGAATAGAAATAAATTACCGCAGTTGATGCATTTTCAATTCATCAAATGAACCGAAAAAAAGCTATTGGTTTCAGACAACATCACCATCACAATAATAAACGTCGATTTCAGAAATTTTCCAACTCAATATATCTTGCATTTTTTGAAATGCATAATTTATACAATGTGGCTTTATGCTTTGCAATTTGTTATTCAAAGTTACTGTAGATGCCTTCAGTTTGCTATATTCCAAATTATTATTTGTGCCAATTTTGCTGAATCGTTGGCAATTTATTAACATATGTAGTGCTTTATTCGTGACTAGTGTTTGTCGGTTATTCAGCTTGCGTGGCTGAGGGGATAGTGGGTTAGACTCAAAATCCTTGATCTCAGTAGATTCGAATCTTACACCTAGCATAAGTCGAGGCTTATTTCTATTTTTTCTTATTTAACTTGATAGAGCTGCTTTTTAGTCGTGTTCTCGCGCGTGTTTTTGAAGCGCAGCTTCGCCTCTGTGTTTTGTTGTCTCTATTGCATTGATTGGGACCGGGTCTCCGAGTGCTCCCTCAAGGCCAGATTGTCTGTTTCGCAGTGATTTTCGTGTTGCCCCTTTCGAGGTTTTTGTGGCGGTGTCCGTCCGTTTTGGGGACATTGCTGATTTTTCTGACATAGACGACCGGTCGTCACTCGACGAAACTTAAGGTTCTGATTCAGATTTGATGTTGGGCATTTTTTGAGAGCATGCGGGGTCGGACTTGCATGCCCCTCGCTGGTGTCTTTCGGGCAGTTTTCCCCCCAGTCCTTTACCTTGGCCTGGGAAAAGGGCTATCTTGGCCTATCTCTTACTTGAGCTTTCTTAATGTTCGGTCTGCTTTTTGCGTGTCAGTTTCTTCGGGAATCCGGCTTTTTCGTCCTCCTGGAACATAGCGTGTTGGGGGTGCGTTGGTTGCTTGATGTCTTAAAATTACAAGCATGGTTCCGTTCTTCTGGCGGATTTATATGCTACATAGTCACTTAACCGTGAAAGCCTCCTGGGGTCCTTAACCATGGTCCGTAGGTCTTTGGATTTGGAACATTTGCGAATCCACATTTTCTCAATAGTCAAGGTTGTTTACCTAATGGTGGTTGTACCCAAGGCTTTCGGGAAGCGGGTTTTAAAACTTCTAGATTCACTAGTGGACAATGTCCGAACAACAATTTAATCCGTCCTTACTCAAAAATTTCAAAAAATTTTCTGAATTTATTGTGTTCCGTTTTCTCAAAAATCGCGAAAATTCGGTTTTTGGTTCCAAAATAGTTCCAACCACTTCCGAACTAAACTTAACCGGTTCTATCTATTATAGTAGTGCAGTTACGATGTAACACACTAATTTAGCGCTTTTTTCCGTTTCAAGTAATATTGATATCTCAAGAATCGCGATTTGTGGGGGAATCAAAATTTCGCTATTTTGACCCTAAAAACCGGTCTGCTTTCTGTGTTTTTCACTAAAAAACGATATAGGAGTATTAATATAGGCTATATAAGTAAACATAATAGTAATACTAAACCCCTCTGGGTTTGTTTAATATCCGAATTAAGGTGCTTAACTCGGATATTCGCAGTTCGGTGAAGGGTCACTACAGTGCAGCACTGTCGAGCACCCCACAGATTACTATCTTAATTTTTGTACCAAAAGGGATACAAAACTTGTTAACGATACCCAACAGTCGATTGTTGTTGTCGTTGAGCCCCTTCTTGTTGCTCCTTGTACTGCTTGCCGGATCAGTCATCTCCCAAGACCCTTCCGAATTGAGCGCAAATCAGCTGACCCTTCCGGATTGAGCGCAATTTATCATTAACGTGCTTAAATGCTCAAATACTCCTACAGTACAAGCCTCACAACCGGGCCACAAAATTGATCGTAACAATCCTGACTGATATAAATGCCTGTAAAAACAATATATCTATCAACAACAAACGGGGGGGTCGCATCACATCTTGTCTGGGGTGATGATTTCTACTGATTTTTTACTTTTTTTTTTACTGTTTTTAGTTTTTTCGGTTATTTTTTATGTTTTTTGTTTTTCTTGGGTACTATACTACTTTTTGTTTGGTTTTATATATATCTTTAAGTGTTTTCGGTCACAAACCTCTCAGGGAACGAGGGGATGACCGATCCCCCCACCCTTCCTGGTTCGTGAATTTTCGGTCTTAACTAGGTTAAAAAGCTATTCACGGTAATCCGGAATGCTTCCGCGTTCCGAACTACCCTTCCGCCCGGCGGTTTTGGCCTATTAAGAACGTTAATGTGAGCATCCGCTCGGCGCGGAGTGCTCGTTAACGGTTCTGCCGGTCATGATGTTAAAAAAGAATAGCACCCAGGAGCGCCATAAAAACATCTATGTAACATTCTCCCGGAAGATACATATGGACGGAAAATAAAGCTAGGTTTTAAGACGACTGGCCAACGTCTAAACAGAGCTCTACATGCTTTCTGTGGTCTTTCTAACATCGGGTCGAAAAAAAAAACGTTACTATTCTCCGGCTTCGACCAGAACGCTCAAATTAACTTAATTACATTGAGAAAAAGTGAGCTCATGGCTGGGTCTCAGTATCCCCAGACCACGAGGTCACTCCTAAAATCAGGGCTACAACTAATTATTGAATTATTTTTGTTTGTGTTCAGTAGATAAAAATCATCATCTCCATCGAAGATGGATCAACCCTTTTCCCCCAACTCCTAGCTTCTCATCCTAGCAAAATGAATTCAGATGTTAATTAATTTCAATTCAGGACATAATAGGGAAGCTAAAAGTTTGTATAAAATGCTCAGAGTTTTAGTCCCGAGACCCCTCCGGATTCTTGAATCCGGGGAAATAAGACCTTTATCTTCCTCCCAGAAGGCTGTCTTCCACCCTTCACCGTTGTTCGCAACAGCCTTGCAACTATTTTAGCGACACAATAGTTGCAACTCGGAGCGGTCTCTGTTACTTCTGTTTTTCTCTGATTCCGATCCCCAGTCTTTTTGTTGTTATCGTCGCAACCACTGCTGTTGTTGTTGTTTATTTCAGTTTCTTCTCTAAAATGGCCGTTTCTGACGTTTCTTAGAATTGTTGCGTCATCAATTCGAATTTTAAAAATTTACGAATTTCCGAATCCTTCAGCCTTTACGATTTGTCCAATCGTTCGAATAACGCTCTTATTCCTTCAAAACCGCCAATTCGGAAGGTTCGCTACTAAAAACTCGAAATTGCTGCGTCTGCATTTTGGTCCATTCTGATCGAATGTCACAACGTTGCTACCTTTTTCAGTGAACGAATGGCTTTTACTTCTTCTCTGTCTGTTGGTGGTCAAAGAACAACTGGTCAAACAGTGCGAACTCAAAATGTTCTGGCAGCGCAGTCTATTGCTAATATAGTGAAGACGTCTTTAGGTCCAGTGGGGCTCGACAAAATGTTGGTAGATGATGTTGGAGATGTAACAATCACCAATGATGGCGCTACCATTCTGAAACTGCTTGATGTTGAACACCCTGCTGCCAAAGTAATTTTTAGATTTCATTGAATTAGCGTACTGTTTTGCTTGAGGCTAGGTCTTTTTAACAGACCACAATGCAATGGTTCAATTAAGGTAAGTTTAAATTGACGGAAGATTCGAAAAGAAAAGCAGTTTCAACAAAATTAGCTTCGCTGAGAAACGGAGAAGTAGCAGTATTTAGACAACCGAGGTTCAGACTCGTCATTAAGCAGACACTGTCGCGTCTGGTAAAAGGTCCATGTTATAACTTTTTTGGTTAAAGATTAGTCCCCATGACTAATCAAAATCATGTCGTTAATAAAAACTAACTGCGCTTGACCGACATCTTTTGTGGAAAGAAAATCCTGTCTCTTTATTAATCCGCATCTCTTTATTAATGATTGAGACAAACAAGGGACCTGCTGTTTTTAAAATCAAATATTGCAATCTTCGTTAGGCTAAAATTAACTTTTTTAGACCGATAAGAAAAGTTGAATTTTAGGTTTTGGTGGAATTGGCCCAGCTGCAAGATGAAGAAGTAGGAGATGGAACCACGTCAGTGGTCATAATTGCAGCAGAGTTGCTGAAAAATGCCGATGAGTTAGTGAAACAAAAGATTCATCCCACGTCCATAATTAGTGGCTATCGCCTGGCATGCAAGGAAGCTGTGAAGTTTATCAAAGACCAACTCTCCGTGCCTTTCGACGATCTGGGCTCAGAATCGCTAGTCAATGTGGCCAAGACTTCGATCTCATCGAAGCTTATCGGAGGCGTTGATGGCGACTTCTTTGCCAATTTAGCTGTGGATGCAGCTAGAGCTGTCCAGTATAATGGACCAGATGGGTCCGCGAAGGTTCCCGTGAGATCTGTAAACATTCTGAAGGCACATGTTAAAAGTACCAAGGAATCAATGCTTATCAAGGGTTATGCACTGAATTGTACAGTGGCATCGCAGCTGATGCCGAAGCGAATTCAAAACGCGAAGATTGCCTGCTTGGATTTCAGTCTACAGAAGACGAAGATGAAGCTGGGTGTGCATATAATTTCAGAAAACGCCGATCAGCTTGAGAAAATCAGGGAGCGAGAAGCAGATATAACCAAGGAGAGAATTGCTAAAGTAATGGCAACGGGAGCAAATGTGGTGCTCACCACTGGTGGTATAGATGATATGTGCTTGAAGTTTTTCGTCGAGAAGAATGCAATGGCTGTTAGGCGATGCAAGAAAGGTGACTTGAAAAGAATAGCAAAAGCCACTGGAGCTACATTGATGAGCAGTCTTGCAAATCTGGAAGGCGAAGAGAGCTACGATGCCTCAGCTCTCGGGTATGCCGAGGAAGTTGTCCAGGACAGAATATGCGACGATGAACTGATTTTCATCAAGAATCCCAAGGCGAGAACCGCGGCTTCTGTTGTCGTCCGTGGCGCCAATGATTTCATGTGTGATGAAGTCGAACGATCGCTGCACGATGCCTTGTGCGCTGTCAAAAGAGTTATTGAGAGCAAGAATCTCGTAGCTGGAGGTGGTTCTGTAGAGAGCGCGTTGTCAATCTACCTTGAGAACTACGCGACGACCATGGCCTCCAGAGAACAGCTTGCAGTCGCTGAGTTTGCGCGATCGCTTCTGATCATCCCAAAAATGCTGTCGGTGAATGCTGCACAAGATTCTGCCGATTTGGTGTCTAAACTGAGAGCCTTCCACCATGCGTCACAAACGTCACCAGACAAAGTAGGCTACAAGTTCGTAGGTTTGGACTTGGTTCAAGGGAAGTGTAGAGACAACAAAAAAGCAGGCGTGGTTGAGCCTGCTGTGAGCAAAATTAAGTCGCTGAAGTTCGCAACTGAAGCAGCTATCACCATTCTGCGAATTGACGATTTGATCAAGCTGGAACCAGAGCCGAAAGAGCCTCCTCGTCGTCACTAAAGGGAAGCTGAAATTTCAGTGGTCAACTCATTTTCATGTGGAAAATGCTGTAAAATGAAGTTTCTGCATGTTGATTGATTGATTGGCAATGTGAAAAATCGTTGGTTGGTTAAGATGTTGAATAATGTGTAAAAAGCTAATTCAAATATGAACATTGGACAGCTTTTCATGGCTCAGTTTTAGCACTGAAAAAACTGTAGGTCTAAGGAAGGTTAGGTAATTGAACAAACTTTCAAGGTTCTTTGAAAAGGGACTAAATGCTTTCAGAGTAGTTAGATATAACTCATGGATACAATTGCTGCGATGTCGGACTCTTTGCCTGTTCAGAACGGAGCCATGTTGTCACCCAAAAAAGACTCGTTTGCTAATTTCTACTACAAAACTGACGGAAAACTTGTCGTTAGTCTGCAAACTGACAGTATTGAAAATGGAAATGGGGATAAGTTGCAGGAGCAGATCACTTTGCACGTGGAGGTTTGCACCAAGGGAAACGTTATTGTCAATCACGGCCAGGAGCTGAAAGACAGAGTGCACAAACATCTGTCGATGTTGGCTTATGATGATTATATTTATATTTTGACCAAGCTTGCGAAAGGTAAGTCCGCATTATTTGTGTCATACGGTAAAGTATGAGTACAGTATATTCTATAATCCGAACGGATTGCTAAATCGAATAGAGAATGAACTCATGTGTACGCAAAAGTAACTGAATGTTAATTGTTAATTCTTTCGTCTGACAGCCATCGCTCAAACTGTCCTACAAAATGTATTAAAAAAAACTTGATTGGTTTTGCCAATCTGGCCGGATGACATTTTCCTTTTTCACATAGAGTTTCATAGTCCCCTTTGGACTAAAGTTTCGGAGTCCCCGTGGGACTAATAGTTTCAAAGTTTTTCTTCCTCTGGAAATTTTTCTTGCTTTCCTTTATCTTTTGTTTCTATTATCGGTCTCTTGTTTTTCTCCTGATTTTTTTTTTCGTGTTCTTCAGTCGTGTTTGCTTCGTATTTTTCGGTTTCGTCGTTTTGCTGTTTTGTTGAGCGTCGTCTTCCTGATTCTTTTCATGTTCATCGGTCGTGTTTGCTTTCTTTTTCGTTTCGTCGCTTTTCGTCTTGCTCAATTCGCTGTTTTGTTCGTATTTATTTCCAGTATCAATCACTAATAGAGCGTCTCGATTTGGGCTAGAAATTGGTGATATCACATCGATCACATGAAACTTTCTTGTCTGTTTCGGTACACATGCTTGAAACTGGTGATTTCATGTTAAATTCAGTTTCGTGGATGAGAATCATGATATTCGCATTGTTACCCTCTGATTTTCTTTCCGTGCATGCAACAGTAATTTTTTTTCGTTTACTTGTTTTAACACCTGCGAATCTATTGTATTAGTACGAACCTTCTTTTTTTCCAACCTAAGTCGGAAATATTGGTGCCACTTTTGGGGCACCTTTACTTTTTGATAGCATGTGATGTGACATTCGAATAGAAATAAATTACCGCAGTTGATGCATTTTCAATTCATCAAATGAACCGAAAAAAAGCTATTGGTTTCAGACAACATCACCATCACAATAATAAACGTCGATTTCAGAAATTTTCCAACTCAATATATCTTGCATTTTTTGAAATGTATAATTTATACAATGTGGCTTTATGCTTTGCAATTTGTTATTCAAAGTTACTGTAGATGCCTTCAGTTTGCTATATTCCAAATTATTATTTGAGCCAATTTTGCTGAATCGTTGGCAATTTATTAACATATGTAGTGCTTTATTCGTGACTAGTGTTTGTCGGTTATTCAGCTTGCGTGGCTGAGGGGATAGTGGGTTAGACTCAAAATCCTTGATCTCAGTAGATTCGAATCTTACACCTAGCATAAGTCGAGGCTTATTTCTATTTTTTCTTATTTAACTTGATAGAGCTGCTTTTTAGTCGTGTTCTCGCGCGTGTTTTTGAAGCGCAGCTTCGCCTCTGTGTTTTGTTGTCTCTATTGCATTGATTGGGACCGGGTCTCTGAGTGCTCCCTCAAGGCCAGATTGTCTGTTTCGCAGTGATTTTCGTGTTGCCCCTTTCGAGGTTTTTGTGGCGGTGTCCGTCCGTTTTGGGGACATTGCTGATTTTTCTGACATAGACGACCGGTCGTCACTCGACGAAACTTAAGGTTCTGATTCAGATTTGATGTTGGGCATTTTTTGAGAGCATGCGGGGTCGGACTTGCATGCCCCTCGCTGGTGTCTTTCGGGCAGTTTTCCCCCCAGTCCTTTACCTTGGCCTGGGAAAAGGGCTATCTTGGCCTATCTCTTATTTGAGCTTTCTTAATGTTCGGTCTGCTTTTTGCGTGTCAGTTTCTTCGGGAATCCGGCTTTTTCGTCCTCCTGGAACATAGCGTGTTGGGGGTGCGTTGGTTGCTTGATGTCTTAAAATTACAAGCATGGTTCCGTTCTTCTGGCGGATTTATATGCTACATAGTCACTTAACCGTGAAAGCCTCCTGGGGTCCTTAACCATGGTCCGTAGGTCTTTGGATTTGGAACATTTGCGAATCCACATTTTCTCAATAGTCAAGGTTGTTTACCTAATGGTGGTTGTACCCAAGGCTTTCGGGAAGCGGGTTTTAAAACTTCTAGATTCACTAGTGGACAATGTCCGAACAACAATTTAATCCGTCCTTACTCAAAAATTTCAAAAAGTTTTCTGAATTTATTGTGTTCCGTTTTCTCAAAAATCGCGAAAATTCGGTTTTTGGTTCCAAAATAGTTCCAACCACTTCCGAACTAAACTTAACCGGTTCTATCTATTATAGTAGTGCAGTTACGATGTAACACACTAATTTAGCGCTTTTTTCCGTTTCAAGTAATATTGATATCTCAAAAATCGCGATTTGTGGGGGAATCAAAATTTCGCTATTTTGACCCTAAAAACCGGTCTGCTTTCTGTGTTTTTCACTAAAAAACGATATAGGAGTATTAATATAGGCTATATAAGTAAACATAATAGTAATACTAAACCCCTCTGGGTTTGTTTAATATCCGAATTAAGGTGCTTAACTCGGATATTCGCAGTTCGGTGAAGGGTCACTACAGTGCAGCACTGTCGAGCACCCCACAGATTACTATCTTAATTTTTGTACCAAAAGGGATACAAAACTTGTTAACGATACCCAACAGTCGATTGTTGTTGTCGTTGAGCCCCTTCTTGTTGCTCCTTGTACTGCTTGCCGGATCAGTCATCTCCCAAGACCCTTCCGAATTGAGCGCAAATCAGCTGACCCTTCCGGATTGAGCGCAATTTATCATTAACGTGCTTAAATGCTCAAATACTCCTACAGTACAAGCCTCACAACCGGGCCACAAAATTGATCGTAACAATCCTGACTGATATAAATGCCTGTAAAAACAATATATCTATCAACAACAAACGGGGGGGTCGCATCACATCTTGTCTGGGGTGATGATTTCTACTGATTTTTTACTTTTTTTTTTACTGTTTTTAGTTTTTTCGGTTATTTTTTATGTTTTTTGTTTTTCTTGGGTACTATACTACTTTTTGTTTGGTTTTATATATATCTTTAAGTGTTTTCGGTCACAAACCTCTCAGGGAACGAGGGGATGACCGATCCCCCCACCCTTCCTGGTTCGTGAATTTTCGGTCTTAACTAGGTTAAAAAGCTATTCACGGTAATCCGGAATGCTTCCGCGTTCCGAACTACCCTTCCGCCCCGGCGGTTTTGGCCTATTAAGAACGTTAATGTGAGCATCCGCTCGGCGCGGAGTGCTCGTTAACGGTTCTGCCGGTCATGATGTTAAAAAAGAATAGCACCCAGGAGCGCCATAAAAACATCTATGAAACATTCTCCCGGAAGATACATATGGACGGAAAATAAAGCTAGGTTTTAAGACGACTGGCCAACGTCTAAACAGAGCTCTACATGCTTTCTGTGGTATTTCTAACATCGGGTCGAAAAAAAAAGTTACTATTCTCCGGCTTCGACCAGAACGCTCAAATTAACTTAATTACATTGAGAAAAAGTGAGCTCATGGCTGGGTCTCAGTATCCCCAGACCACGAGGTCACTCCTAAAATCAGGGCTACAACTAATTATTGAATTATTTTTGTTTGTGTTCAGTAGATAAAAATCATCATCCCATCGAAGATGGATCAACCCTTTCCCCCAACTCCTAGCTTCTCATCCTAGCAAAATGAATTCAGATGTTAATTAATTTCAATTCAGGACATAATAGGGAAGCTAAAAGTTTGTATAAAATGCTCAGAGTTTTAGTCCCGAGACCCCTCCGGATTCTTGAATCCGGGGAAATAAGACCTTTATCTTCCTCCCAGAAGGCTGTCTTCCACCCTTCACCGTTGTTCGCAACAGCCTTGCAACTATTTTAGCGACACAATAGTTGCAACTCGGAGCGGTCTCTGTTACTTCTGTTTTTCTCTGATTCCGATCCCCAGTCTTTTTGTTGTTATCGTCGCAACCACTGCTGTTGTTGTTGTTTATTTCAGTTTCTTCTCTAAAATGGCCGTTTCTGACGTTTCTTAGAATTGTTGCGTCATCAATTCGAATTTTAAAAATTTACGAATTTCCGAATCCTTCAGCCTTTACGATTTGTCCAATCGTTCGAATAACGCTCTTATTCCTTCAAAACCGCCAATTCGGAAGGTTCGCTACTAAAAACTCGAAATTGCTGCGTCTGCATTTTGGTCCATTCTGATCGAATGTCACAACGTTGCTACCTTTTTCAGTGAACGAATGGCTTTTACTTCTTCTCTGTCTGTTGGTGGTCAAAGAACAACTGGTCAAACAGTGCGAACTCAAAATGTTCTGGCAGCGCAGTCTATTGCTAATATAGTGAAGACGTCTTTAGGTCCAGTGGGGCTCGACAAAATGTTGGTAGATGATGTTGGAGATGTAACAATCACCAATGATGGCGCTACCATTCTGAAACTGCTTGATGTTGAACACCCTGCTGCCAAAGTAATTTTTAGATTTCATTGAATTAGCGTACTGTTTTGCTTGAGGCTAGGTCTTTTTAACAGACCACAATGCAATGGTTCAATTAAGGTAAGTTTAAATTGACGGAAGATTCGAAAAGAAAAGCAGTTTCAACAAAATTAGCTTCGCTGAGAAACGGAGAAGTAGCAGTATTTAGACAAC